ATTCAATACTCAATGAGAGCTTAATGAGAATTTTTGAGAATTAGTGATCTTTTATTATTTATTGGCTTTTCAAGACAGGGTTTCTCTGTATAGCCTTGGCTGTCCTGGAACTCACTCTGTAGACCTGGCTGGCCTCAAAGTCATAGAGATCCACCTGTCACTGCTTCCCAAGTGCTGGGATCAAAGGCATGCACCACCACTGCCTGGTTGATCTTTTATTATATGTAAAATTATTTTATGAATATGGGTATTTTGCCTGCATGTATATCTGTGGCCACATGTGTGCCTGGTGCCCACTAAGGCTAGAAGAAGGCATCAGATCCCCCAGGGAGTGGAGTTAAAGACCGTGGTGAGCTTCCATGTTGGTTCTGGGCATTGAACCTGGGTCCTCTGCCAGAGCAACAGGTACTGAACCATCCTTCCAGCCCAGTCCTTTTTTTTTTTTTTTTTTTAATTACAGTTTTGGGGTGTCTGTGTGTGTGTTTGCATTTCTGCCACAGTGCATATGTGGAAACCTTCTGAGAGGGGAGCTCTCCTCCTACATGAGCCCAGGAGCCGAACTCAGGCCTGTCAGCCAGTACTTTACAACGCCCCCACCCCCAGCCATCTCACTAGCCCCTTTCTTTCTTTCTTCTTTCTTTCTTTCTTTTCTTTCTTTCTTTCTTTCTTTCTTTCTTTCTTTTCTTTTTTTCTTTCTTTCTTTCTTTCTTTCTTTCTTTCTTTCTTTCTTTCTTTCTTTCTTCCTTTCTCTCTTCCTTCTTTATTCTCTCTCTCTCTCTCTCTTCTTTCTATAGAGCTAACCCAGGGCATTGTGCATGTTAGGCAAGTACTCCACCAACTGAGCTATATTCTCACATTCTCAGCCCATAATTATCAATCTTATTTATTTATTTTGTTTTTTTTGAGACAGGTTTCTCTGTGTGCCCTTGCCTGTTCTGGAATTTGTCCTGCAGACCAGGCTGGCCTCAAACTCAGAGATCTCTCCTGTCTCTGGGGTGCTGCAATCAAAGGTGTGTGTGCCACTACTGCCCATATCAATCTTTCATCTCAAACAGGATTAAAATCTGAATATCTGGATGGAAATAAAAAAGATCTTTTATGAAGCTAAGTGGATAGGCACGTAAGACATTCCTATTTGAAAATGCAGGTTGTAGAGGTTGTGTTGTAAAGCAGATTCCCTTTGCCTTTGGCTTCTGGAAATTGAGATAAAAATCAACCATCCTTGACTACCTGAGCGTCCTCAGACTGCACATCGTAGGAGAGAGCAAACAAGCCACCTGCCTACAGGTCACACACAGAAATGAACGTAAGTAAAGGGTTAATTCTAACAGTCAAGAGTTACACCACCATTGCCAAGGACATACATACACAAGAATTAAGAAATGTGGGGTGGTGAGGGCACACGCCTTTAATCCCTGCAGGAAGGAGAGACAGGTGGATCTCTATGAGTTCAAGGCCAGCCTGATCTACAGAGTTCCAGGACAGCCAGGGTTACTATACAGGGAAACCCTATCTAGAAAAACCAAAGAAAATGAGTAGAAGAGGTTGAAAGATCAGATATTTCTCTTCCTGAGGTCCTGAGTTCGAGTCCTAGCACCCATATCAATGGATTACTACGACATAAAACTCCAGCCCCAGGAGGAATCTGACTTCTGTGGGCCTTGCATTCGTGTGCCAACAACACACACACACACACACACAAATAAAAATGAATCTTAAAGAAGTAGAGGAGGAACATTCAATTGCTTTTGTATGTGTAATGCACAAATAGGCCTTAGTAAATGATCTCAGCTAGAAAATAGATACAAAGTTTCATTCCTGAGTAAAAAATACAGGTCTTTAAAAGAATCCAGTTTTATTCTTGGTGTGACTCTTAGAATGTAAATATTTTAGAGCCCATTCCTTCCTGGTTTAGAGGGGCAGTGCTTAATTTTAAAATGTCTTTAGAGCAAGTCAAGATGTCATAAGCACCCTTCTTCACCACGTTCAGGGAAGAGAAGTTTAGGAGAATAAGCAGCCGAGAATATTCAGTATTTGGCATCATGAGTATTCTGTTTTTAGAGTTTAACTTGCTAAGTAGCTCAGGCTGAACTCCCAGTCCCCCTGTCCCACGGATCTCCGGTGCTGGAATCACAGGCGTGCACAACCGTGATCGTCTCAAGCTTTGCTCTTTTCTCTCCTGGGCGGAATTACAACACTGTGGAACTCTTATGACTTTCTCACTAAATAAGCATGTGATTTTTTTTTTTTTTTGAGACAGTGTCTCTTCATAGCCCTGTCTGTCACTGTGTAAACCAGGCTGGCGAGGAACTCACAGAGATCTGCCTGCCTCTTCCTCCTGAGGGCTGGGACTAAAGGCATGTGCCACCACGCCTGGCACAAGCACATGCTTATATCCAGCTAATGCCAGGTCTAAAAATCAGAGACCAGAAACTTTGTGTTACATGCTCCTTGTTTTTTAATTTTAAAAAATGAGTATTTTATATGCTTGTATGTCTGTATAAAAATAACCATATGTGTACCTCCTGCTCTTGGATGTCAGAAGAGGTTGGATCCCTAAAACTAGAGGTACAGATGAGGTTATAAACCACTATGTGGGTGCCAGGAACGAAACCCAGATACTCCACAAGAGCAAGCTTCAACTCTTAACCATCTCTTCAAGCCCTGCTCCTTAGTTTCTGTAAGATTTTTTTCCTCTTTTTAAAAAAAAAAAAAAATTATTGTGGCCTGGTGAGATGGCTCTGCAGTTAAGAGCACTGTCTGTTCTTCCAGAGGTCCTGAGTTCAATTCCCAGCAACCACATGGTGACTTACAACCATCTATACCCTCTACTACCCTTTTCTGACAGGCAGATACATATGCGGATAAAGTACTCATAGGAGCTAGAGAGATGGCTCAGTGGTTAAGAGCACTGTCTACTCTTCCAAAGGTCATGACTTCAATTCCCAGCAGCCACATGGTGGCTCACAACCATCTATAATGTGAACTGTTTCCCTCTTCTGGCAGGTGTAAATGCAAATAGAATACTCATATAAAAAATAAATCTTAAAATTTTATTTTTTTATTAATTACAGTTTATATACTTTGTATCCCAGCTCTAGCCCCCTCCTTCATCCCCTCCCAATTCCACCCTCCCTCCCTCATCTCCTTTTACGCCCCTTCCCAAGTCCACTGATAGGGGAGGTCCTCCTCCTCTTCCCTCTGACCCTAGCCTATCAGGCCTCATCAGGACTGGGCTGCATTGTCTTCCTCTGTGGCCTAGTAAGGCTGTTCCCCATTCAGGGGATGTGATCAAAGAGGTAGCCACTGAGTTCATGTCAGAGACAGCCCCTGTTCCCCTTACTAGGAACCCACTTGGATACTGAACTGCCATGGGCTACATCTGTGCAGGGGTTCTAGGTTATCTCCATGCATGGTCCTTGGTTGGAGAATCAGTCTCAGAAAAGACCGCTGTGCCCAGATTTTTTGTTTCTGTTGCTGTCCTTGTGGCGCTCCTGTCCCCTCCAGGTCTTTCTATCTCCCCCTTCTTTCATACAGCTGTCAGGGCATGGCACTGCATCGGCCTGCTCTCCCACTGTGCAGACCCCAGGCTGGCCTCCAGCTCACCTCTGGAGCACTGGAACTGCCCTGCACCACCATGCCTGGCTTCTCTGGTAAATTTTACATAATGCTTTAATTTGTCTGAAACTTCCTCTCGTCTTAGTTTAGGCTAAGATTAGAGACAGTTGAGGTCTACAAACCCTTGATTTTCTGTTAGCATTCAAGGTGCTTAGGCCGTTAGCGGAAGAGGTTTGCTCAAAGGTTTTCTACTAACTTTGGACCAACTAGATTCTTGGTCTTAGTCTTTTCTGGAAGCATATCTCATTTCCTCCTGGTTTCACTCCACTCCAAGTTATAGACACTGGTTGCTAAATGATTCTTGGCATCTAGGATACTGTATTCTCTCTCTCTGTCTTCCAGTTTGTAAGCAGGCTTTGCCCTCAGCCTCAAACTAGCGTTGAACGTTTACAGGTGGGTTCCCATGCACTTCAATTAACCTGATCAACAGGTAGAACTGACTCCAGTGACTAGGACAGGAATTTATTGACGACAGTTTTAAACCACCAGGGCCAGGGACTTGGAGACTTGGAGACTAGGGCAAGCAGTGACATGCATGTCGCCGTAATTGTAAAGTTGATGGGCACATATGACTGGGTACTTACTGTGTATCTCATACCTGTTCAGCTGTGGGGGTACAAAAGAAGCCTCATTAGGCCTTCCCAGTCGGTCTCTTCGTCTAGCATTGCTTGGATGGGGGCGGGGGGAAACAACCCATATCTGCCTATCAGTTGAACTACAGAGAGAAAGCACAAGGTCCAGGACCTAAGTGAACAGAAGCTCGCTTGGATGCCCATCTACACCCAGCACGTTGTTTTTGTAATTTGTAATGCTAAGGCTATTGCGTTACACGCTGCACTGACTAGTTTTGAGTCAACTTGATACAAGCTAGAGTCAGGAGGGAGCCTCAACTGAGAAAAACGCCTCCCTCAGACAGGGCTGGGGCTGTAGCAGGCCTCTGTAGGTGGGGCATTTTCTTATCAGGGATTGATCAGGGAAAGCACAGCCCATGGTGGGTGGGGTCGTTGCTGAGCTGGTGGTCCTGAGTTCTATAGGAAAGCAAGCTGAGCTTTCGTTTGTTTGTTGTTTGTGGAGGCAGGGTTTCTCTTTGTAGCCCCGGCTGTCCTGTAGATCATGGTGGCCTCAGACTCAGAGATCCGCCTACTTCTGCATCTCGAGAGCTGGTTTAAAGGTGTGTGCCAACAGCGTCCTGCAGATTTGGATATTTTCGGATGCAGGTTAAAACCAGGTTCCACTAGTTAGGCAGAAGTGCCCCAAACATTTAATTTCCATGCCCACAGTTTCTTCCACGGACCGAACTCTTCCAACCTAGGCCCGCCCATCTGTGTTTCAGCTTCATTGCGCTAGCCAGGGCAGAGTGGAGCGAGGTTTTACTACAGAACTGCACCTAGTTGTCCCAATTAAGGCATAGAGTGAGGGTTTTTAATGGGGGTTACCACAGTAAACTTCAAGTCCAGGCAAGCCCGGACACGACTTGGGGAGAGACTAGCAGAGCGCTCGGGGTCCTCCTCCGGCGGAAGCCCCGCCCCTTCGAAACCCCCGGCGGCTTGGTAGTTTCCCAGGCGACGGCGACGCTGTGGTCGTGGATGGGACCATGACCTTTTTCCCGGAGCTTTACGTGAAGAAGAGGAAATATGACGGGCCATCCTCCGCCCGTCTGGATGTAAGTGCTGCTTGGGGCCCGTCACAGGCGGGCAGTGCTGAACCGGGCCGTCCCTGGGCGTGGCGGGCGGAGTAGCAGGCAGCAAGGGAGTCCGCCTGGACCTCATGGGGGACCCGGGGTACAGCTGGTCCGGTGTTCCGTGCTTGGGCTCCTACAAAGGCCTGTCGCCTTCTTCCTCTCGTGGCTCCGGTTTTCAAGAATGGGAAACAGTTACCGGCAAACAAAAAATTAAAGAGGTGTGTTGGTGGGATTCAATTCTGTCTGGCTGTCCAAGCAGAGATGTGGCTGTGTGAGAAGCCGGAAGGGCTGGTTGCTTGCCCTCTACTACTGGGTGAAATTCTGGCCCTGAAGATCAGGGACAACATCAGAGCCGGGTGTTCTCCGAGACAGGGTTTCTCTGTGTAGCCTTGGCTATCCTGGATTCGCTTTGTAGACTAACTTGGCCTCGAGCTCACAGCGATCCTCCTGCCTCTGCCTCTCTGAGTGCTGGGGTTAAAGGCCTGAGCCACCACGCCTGACTTTTTTTTTTTTTTTTTTTTTTTTTGTGGGATTCTAATTTAAATATAGATTAAAGGTTGCTGTGGGCATCCTCTGAATGGCTGTGACGAGCCTTTAGATAAATTTCCTTCCAACTTTTCCTTCCTATCATCCTCTTTCCTGTTCCACGTTCCTTTCTTTCACCCTCTCTCCCCTTTCCATGGTGAAACTCCATCTGAAAACAAAAAGGATGAAACCAAGGAAAAAACACAAAACAGTAGAGAGATGGCGCAGAGAGTAAGAGTACTGGCTTCTCTTCCAAAGGAGCCAGGTTCTGTTCCCGGCACCTACAAATAGGCTCACGGCCATTGGTAACTCCAATGCCAAGAGATCTAAGCCCTCTTCTGGCCTCTTCCAGCATTACACACACACACACACACACACACACACACACACACACACACACACGGCCTACAGACACACGCACAAGCAAAACACCAATACACCTAAAATAGAATCAAAGAACAGGCTGGGATGTCACTTAGGTGGTTGGACACTTGCCTAGCATGTACCCATGCCTGTTTCGGATCCTGAGCCCCAGCACCATATAAACCAGGGGTGGTGTGGCATGTCTGTAATCCCAGCAACAGAGAGGTGGGGACAGGAGGGTCGGAAGCTCAAGGCCGGCTCCAACGCAATGAATTCGATAGGATTAACAAGGGAAGAGTAGGAATCAGTAAAGGCTTTGGGGGTTCTAAGATGGATTTTAGTTACATGTAATGCAGTCATTTTGTTTTGCAGCAGTATGGATTACGGTTAGGGATGTGGTACTGGAAAGAGGAAACCAAAACTCTGGAATTTAAAAGGTAAAATTTAATAAAACTTTTTTTTTTAAAGCATTTTTATGATAAGTACATGTGCTGGGGACAGGGGATACTAAACCATACGGAAAAGACTTTAGTAATAAAATTAGCCCCCACTATCTGAGTATAATGATTTTGCTGAACTGCCTTAAAGACATTATTTTCTGATAATGCCTGGATCTTTGCTTTCTATGGACTAGCTATAGTGCTGATCATTTAAGCAACCCTTTGAAACAGCTGAAAGGTTTATGGTTAAGGAACTGAGATTTTTTTTTTTTTTTAAGCTGGGCTCGGTGGCACATACCTGTGTAATCCCAGCAACTCTGGGAGGTAGAGGCAGGAGGATCTCTGTGTGTTCGAGGCCAGCCTGGTCTACAGAGTGAGTCCAGGACAGCCAAGGCTAAACAGAGAAACCGTGTCTCAGAAAAAAAAAGAAAAAAAAAAAAAGAAACAGACACACACACACCACACAAAGGGCTGAAACCTTTCCAGAGCCGTGAGACTGAGACAGCTGCTTGGGAGGAAGAATTGCCTTGTGACTAAGTACACGGCTCTGTGTCCCGAGGGCATGGAGGTCTGCTCTGGCTTCACCCGGCTGCTGTGTCACTGCTAAACTCATGCCACACACTAAGGTGTAAAAATGACGGCAGTAATACTTCCCTCATAAAGCTGATGAGGTGGTGCCCCAAAGCACCAGCCTGTTACAGGACCTCCATACACTTAAGGAAGTCTTCTGCCCTTATGAGCCCTTCTATTTGTGATAACACTAGAAGATGTCCAGGCAAGATGTCCATGTTTCATCCATGGTGATGTTCTAGAAGCTGAATGTGAGCCGGAGAAGCTACTCTTCCTCTTGGTAGCGGTTGTATGTCTCCGCATCCTGAGTTGAACACTGCAAATAGATGCCAGTCTTCAGACTCCGTGAGCTTTGTCCCTGACAGGATCGGCTTTCCCCTGGGAGAAGGGCAAGCCCCTAATCCTCCCTTTTTGTTGCAGTTTCACACCTGCTATAGAATTCAAGGAGAAAAGCAAGAAAGGGAAGGCAGTTCACTTTGCTGAGATGGATGGCGCGACATCAGAAAGGTGGCTCCTCTTTGCCCAAGGCATCCTTCAGTGGACTCATTTGTCTTCACACACTCAAAGAAATAGCAGTCCCACTTTCCTAGGTTGCCATGGAAATATCCATCAAGGGAAACACAGGCAGCATCTCAGTTACAGCAGGAGTTACAAACAGCCCCTACACATTCATTTGTTTGATAACATGGCTACTAGTGCATTTCAGACTTGTTACAGCTTTTTTTTTTTTTTTAAATCTGAAAATAATAGTGACACTAGAATCTTTCATCCATCTGTCCATCCATCCATCTGAAGTACTGGACCTTAAGCCAGGACCTCACACATTCTAGGCAAACTGAACCACATCCTCAACCCATTAAGCAATTTAAATGATCTTTTTGAAAGCTGGGTGTAGTGATTCACGCCTTTAATGCCAGCACTTAGGAGGCAGAGGCAGGAGGATCTCTTTGAGTCTGAGGTCAGTCTGGTCTACAGAGTGAGTTGCAGGACAGCCAGGACTACACAGAGATACCCTGTCTTGGAAAAACAAAGAGACAAAAACAGAGCTAATAACAGAAACAACACATCTGAGCTTACATTTTTATGTCAGTCTGCATGCCTCCCCTCCTAGCAGACACAGTGCTCAGTGAGGTACATTCCGAAACAGGACGACATCAAAGGAACCCATGCATGACACTCAAGCTCTCATTACTTTACAAGCAAACTTTTTGTGCAGCTTGGGGTAGATGAGATATGACCACATCTCTTAAAATACTGTCTGAGGGAACAGAGCAATGGCTCAGAGGTTAAGAGCACTGGCTGCTCTTCCAGAGGACACAGATTTGACTCCCAGTACCAGCACAGTGGCACACAAGCAGCTGTAAGTCTACTGGGGGGGCGGGGAAGAGGGGAACCCAACACCCTCTTTGGCCTCCGTGAGCCCTGCACAGTATGTGACGCACAGACATGCAAGCAAGCGAAAACAGCCCTACAAATAAAATGAGTCTTAAAAAAAAAAAATCACCCGAGCCTCTTCTATTTCCAAACAGGCTGACAGATAAAAGGTTTGCCTCCAGGGACGAAAAGTCAGTGAAGGCCTCGGAGAAAAAAAGCCAACAGGGCAATGTCACGCTGGAGGACGTTAAGTGTGAGCCACTCTCTTCATGCAGGGCAGCCCCTGGCCTCCTGAGCAGCCCTCTGCCTAACTGCACTCCCCTCTCCTTTCAGTTGTGGCACTGTTTTTACTCCAGGACACTGAAATGCAAAGGATCTACTCTTTCACAACCTTTATGAGGTAAAGCCGATAAGCCAGCATGCGCCCTTCCCCTTTCCTCTGCAGGGATTTTTTTTTTTTTTTTTTTTTTTTTTTTTTTTTTTTGTCTAATAAGTGAAAGCTGGCCCGATTCCTAGAGGAAGAGCACATGGCAAGGCATCCTTCTCAGACGCTAGAGAGTCTGGGAGAGATACCTGAGGCCACAGGAGCGCCAAAGCCCTAGAAAGCCCTAGAGTATGGAGCAGGGCGGGGAGGCAGGGGCAGAGCAGACTGCAGATGGACAGCCGATATTTTATGAGTGGTCATCTACGGAGTAAGTTACAAAAGGGTGGGAGAAGAGAATGTTTATTTCACATAGCTGTACTTGTGTTTGTATTTTGGGGTAGGGTTATGCTATGGAGACATCTTCTCTGTCAGTTTTATTCAGCAGCGAAGGCTGGCCTGAAACTTGAGACCCTCCTGATTGCTGGCATCACAGGTGTGAACCACCATGTCCAGCCTGTACATTTTTCAAACAATAGAAATATGTTACTTACAGATGAATACTTGTAAAGTGAAAAAACAAAACAATAATACGTTAATAATTTAGTATCTTACTTCCCCAAAATGAATGTTTTTTTCAGGTGCTTTTTACACCTTTATCGCAGTGGATAGTAAGTTAATTGTGTGATAGACTTAGAACCGTGTATTTATGGCTGGGTGGTGGTGGTTCATGCCCTTAATTCCAGCACTTGGAAGGCAGAAGCAGGAGGATCTCTGAGTTCGAGGGCAGGCTGGGCAACAGAGTGAGTTCAAGGACAGCTAGGACCAAAACAGAGAAACCATGTTTCAAAAATGAACAAACAAACAAACAAAAAACACACAAACACTTACACCGTGTCCCCACTGTTTTTCAAGAGAAACCTGGTGTTTGAAATCGGGACTGTTCATTTATTTATTTATTTATTTATTTATTTATTTATTTATTTATTTATTTATTTTCTTAAATTTCCCTGTAGGAATAAGAATCTTGACAGCTTCCTCATGGCACTCTTGTACTATATGTCTTACTACTTGGAGAAAATAGCAATAGAAAAGAAGCCCCAAAGCTACATGGTGTGAGTAAGACTTTATAATAGTCTTTAGAGTTTTATTACTGTCGATGTTATCTAGGGTGAGGGGATGGTAGCATCTTTTCGTCTCTCTGGTCTGGGAAACATTTTGCGCACAGGAGGATTTGCTTTAAAGCTCACGGAGCAGCCCACACAAGAATTCTCACGGTGAAACATTCCAACAAGCATGGATCAGTACTGCTCAATGAGGAATGTCATTAGAGCCATATTTGTAATATTCTACTATTGATTGGTTGGTTGGTTTTTTTCAATACAGAGTTTCTGTGTGTAGCCTTGGCTCTCTTGAAACTCACTCTGTAGACCAGGCTATCCTCAAACTCACAGAGATCCTCCTGCTTCTGCCTCCCAAATGCTGGGATTAAAGGCATCTGCAACCGCTGCCTGGTCCCAAAATTTCTAATGTGTCTTAAAGATAAAAAGACATGCTTAAAATTAATTTGTTATTTTTACCCAACCTAATGACCTAAAAATATTATGATGATAATATTAGGATGATAGTATCTTAAAATAATTCCTTCTTGTAAAAATTTCTATTCTTGGGCTAGAGAGATTATAGTTCAGAGGTTAAGAGCAATTCCGTTGGCTTCCAGAGGTCCTGAGTGCAATTCCCAGCACTCACATGGTGATTCATAACCAGCTATAATGAGATCTGGTGCCCTCTTCCGGCATGCAGGCGAAATAGTGTTTACATAGTTAACAAATAAATCTTGAAAAAATAAAACTTCTTTCTTTGTGCGTGCTTATGTGTGTGTTATACGCATGTGTGTGTAGTAGATGCCCGTTGGGGGTGGGGCGGTGTGCTTAACCACACAAGGGCATGTGGAGGCCTGAGGTCTATGTCAGTGTCTTTTCCTATCACTCTCTATCCTGTTTTGAGACAGGACCTCTCACTGGATCTGGCGCTTGCTGTTCAGCTAGACTAGCTGGCCAGAGGGCCCCAGGAATTTGTCTGTCTCATTTCTCCTCAGAGCTGAGGTCACAGATGCCTGCCACTATGCCAGGTTTTCACATGGGTGCTGGGGATCCGACTCGGGTCCTTAAGCCTGAGCAGTGACCATTTTACCTACTGAGTCATCTCCCCAGCCCCTTAGGACATTATCAATGGGATGGTGGGGGTTTTGGTTTGGTTTGGTTTTCGGTTGTTTTAGACAGAGTTTCTCTGTGTGACCTTTTTTTTCTGGAACTTGCCCTGTGGACCAGGCTGGCCTCAGACTCACAAAGATCTACCTGCCTCTGGTTCCCTAGTGCTGGGATTAAAGGCATGCACCACTACTGCCCAGCTAGTGGGATGTTTTTGCTTTTTTCTGTATCTTTAGAATCTGGTGTCTTTTATGATCTCAATACATCAGGCACATGTAGCTGGTGACTTCAACTTAAGAGCCATGCAGCCATCTCTCTCTCTCTCTCTCTCTCTCTCTCTCTCTCTTTCTCTCTCCCCCACCTCTCTCTTACTTACAAAATTCATGCTAGAAAGTTTGTAAGCATCTAATAACAAAAAGTTGTTTTTGTTTGTTTTGTTTTTGAAAGTAGATTTGACTGAAATAAAACATTCCCCATCAAAGGAAAATCACTCCAGTTTCTTCTTAACCTATCTGTAGAAAACTTGACTGTGCTCGCTGTTAGGCAGCCATGGCCTAGAGAGAAACACCAGGGCCAAAATCTGGGAGCTTGGAGCCTAGCTAGAACACAACAATGCCTCTCAGGCTTGTTGACCTTTCACAAGCCCAGCCCCACCCCCGAATGTGTGTGGGACCAATTCAATGATTTAGCTGTTAGGAATGTTGGGTAGAGTCATTAATGTGTTGCTACAGAACGTTTTTAGAATATAAAACTCTTGGGCCTGATCAAACACTTGGAAAGACATTTGGATTAACTAATAGATGTCCCCGAATAGCAGTTTTGTAAGGGACCAGATAAATACCTCAGACACTGCTGTGCCTGTAACGCAACCACAATCTACGCCATGTGAGCGTTATTTCAGGGTGGCATTTCACAGCAGGGTAGCCGGAGCGTGAAGTGTTTCTATGGCAGCATCCAAAGCCAAAGCCAGCTGTGGCTTACAAGGCTGGAGAAGCCCTTGACTTCCAAACTGAACTCAATAGATTTTTTTATGGCTCTTTTTGGCTTGTTATATTCTTCTGCTTTCCTCTGATTCCAAGGCTTATTACTAATCTAGCAGTGACATTTGTTTCATATGTTAATTTATAAGTAACAGAGAAGAAAGGTCTTCGGATTTAGGGTTTTTTTTTTTTTTTTTTTTTTTTTTGCATCGAAACTTAACTAGAACACAGTGGTGCAGGGAAAACACACCAATCCAAATCTTAAATTATGGGTTCTGAATGTCAGCATAACCTTTCATCTTCAAGTGTCCAGAAGTCAGCTGGCTTACTTCATTATAAACAGAGTTAAAATTAGACTGTGTTGGGGCATTTACACAGAGGGAAATAACTGATTCTAGTCTCACAAAGTTAGTGAATCCCCCTTAAATTGTGACTGGCTGTGTGAGGGACATTCTTTTCATCATTCCTGTGTTTATTTATTTTGAAAATTCCCTGTTTGTTTGTTTGTTTGTTTTGATAGCTAAATAATAATTGTAGGCCAGGCATGGTGATACACGCCTTTCATCCCAGCACTTGGGAGACATTGACAGGTAGATCTCTACAAGTTTGGGGCCAGCCTCATCTACATAGTGAGTTCCAAGCCAACCAGGGGTAGCTAGTGGGGCACCCTGTCTCCATAGTAATGATAACAACAATGAAAACTATCGTTATTCATCTTTCTATATTAATTTTGTCATCTATTATTATGTATTTATTATTGATATTATTTTGTATTGAATTGATTTTTTGACGTTTATTTTAGATGGTCTTATTTAGCCGAGGATGGCCTTTGAAATCAATATATATCTGAGTTTGATTTTGAATTCCTGATCCTCCTACCTCAACCTTTCAAGTGCTGGGATTATGGGCATATTGTATCACATCCAGTTCAGAATTCAGTATCTTCATTCATAAAATTTTTCTGTCTGATTTTGAATAATGTTTTTTAAAGAATAAATTTCTGAGCCAGGCATGGTGGTACACACCTATAGTCCCAGCACTCGGGCAGATTGCTGTGAGTTCAAGGCCAGCCTGGTCTACAAAGCGAGTTCAAGGCCAGCCTGGTCTACAAAGCGAGTCTAGGACAGCCAAGGGCTACACAGAGAAAACCTGTCTCCAACAATCAAAAAATTTTTTGTTTTCCAAGAGAGATCTTATGAGACCAAAACTTAATAATTACTTTTATGTCTCTGTAAGTTCCTTCTCAAATGTATTTTTTTCATAGAATTATGCCAATTTTATTTTAGCAACAATGCATGTAATATTCACTTTCAACAAAATTGTCAGTTTTTTATTTTGGTGATGCTAGGAATCGAACCCAGGTCCTGCACATGAGTGACATGCCTCTCCCTTCATTTGCATTTTAAAGGAATGTTTGTCAAGGCAGGTGAACCACTTACTGGGTTAAGTTTTTAAAGAATGTTTAAGTGAGTGTCTTTCTGCTTCTGGGTTACCTCACTCAGGATGATCTTTTCTAGTTTCCACCATTTGCCTGCAAATTTCATGATTTCCTTGTTTTTAATAGCTGAGTAGTATTCCATTGTGTAAATGTACCACGATTTCTGTATCATTCTTCAGTTGAGGGACATCTAGGCATATAACTTAGGGTAAAAATACTAAAATCTATAGACCTAAAGAAGCTAAACAACGAGAGGATCCTAGGAAAGATGCTTAATTCTCATTTAGAAGGGACATCAGAAGCTGTAAAAGAGAGGGAACAGGACTGGAGCCACCACAGATTTCTCTAAAAGACTCCACCCAGCAGGGGATCGAAGCAGATGCAGAGACTCACTGCCAAACTGGACAGAATGAAGGGACACTTATCGAAGAAAGGGGATACAAAAGGATCCAGAGGGGACAGGAGCCACACAAGCTGACCAACAAAGGCAAAAAAGTAGGGCCCAGGGGGACTGTAGAGACTAATGCATCAACAAAGACCAGGCATAGGGAGGACCTAGACCCCCTGCTCAGATGTAATCCATAGACAACTCACTGTCCATGTGAGTCCCTAGTAAGGGGAGAAAAAAACAGTCTCTGACATGAACTCAGCTTTCTGCGCCTTGATCTCGTCTCCCAGGTGGGGCGACCAAGCCAACCTACAGAGGAAGAAGATCCAGGCAGTCCTGATGGGACCTGATAGGCTGGGGTCATACAATAGGGAAGAAGGACTTTCCCTATCAGTGGACCAGGGGAGAGGGATAGGGGAGGGAGAAGGAAGGATCTGGAGGAGATGAGGGAGGGGGCCACAGCTGAACTATAACATGAATTAATAATAATAAAAGAATGTTTAAGTGGCTTTCTCACTCCCTGCCATCTTGGCAGCTGATCTTGGTTGGGGATTGTCCCACACCTGAGGAAGACGAACAAGTCTCCAGAGTCCATCAACTTTAGGCTCCAACTTGTTATGAAAAGTGGAAAGTACGTGCTGGGATACAAAGATGATCAGACAAGGCAAAGCGAAACTGGTTATCCTCGCCAGCAACCGCCCAGCTCTGAGGAAATCTGAAAAGGAATACCATGCCGTGTTGGCTAGAACTGGTGTCTATCACCACACTGGCAATAATGTTGAATTGGGCACAGCGAGCGGAAAATAGTACAGAGTACGCTCACTGGCTCTCATTGACCCCGGTGATTCTGATACTATTAGAAGCCAGAAGAGACCGGTGAAAAGTAAACGGGACGGGGGAAAGTTTCCTTTAATAAAACTTTGCCAGAGCTCCTTAAAACAAACAAGAATGTTTAAGGTGTTGTAGGTGGTAATTAATTTTTACTATTGGTTTATCTTCTAGTAAAGCTTGCTGTTAAACAGCTGTATAACCAAATCACCACACAGAGACTGGGTTTTTAGTTAACCTAGAACACAATGCTGGGCAATATTTACTCCCTCCTAAACCTCCAAGCCCTCAGTTTCCTAACATTTAGATTTCCCACATTATACTTGCTTTTTGTGAAATCTTAGGTCTGGTTCATGCTCTACATCCTCCAAGATCTCTCCTCCAGCTCTGCTCTCCTAGCTCTCTTCTAGCCCCTTCTCCTCCCATTCATCTTCTGCCTTCTGGCTCCTCCCCTCTTTTCTGTCCTCTGGCTCCTCCCTGCTCAACATTGTGTCTAATTGCTTTATTTTGTGTTTACACAAGAGTTGAGACAGGATGCTTAGAATGAGTATCACAATGCAATATCCGGATTGAAACCAGAGAGTTGGGAATGGGGTGGGGGAGAAATCAGTATTTGAATGAACAAGGGTAAGGTGTATACATTAAAAAACAACAACAACAACAACAACAAAAAAAAAAAAACACCATTATACCAACATTAAGGGTTGGGGGATGTAGCCTAATGGCAGAGTGCTCACCTAACACACACAAAGCCTTGGCTTTGATCCCCAGCCCTGCATAAACCTGCCATGGTGGTGTGCTGTGTAATCCCAGCCCTTGGGGGGCAGAGGCAGAATGAGCAGGTGTTCATAGTTATCCTCGACTATGCACGAAGTTCAGGGCCAGCCTGGGCTACATGATGCTTGATCTCCACCACCCGCCCCTCGGCATGCACGCACGTCGAGGCAATGTCGCCAAAATGAAAACACAAAAATCACGGAGGGGAACGATTCCCAGGTACAGAACATGGATGCGAACAGGCCAGCTCTGCCTAGGAGTTGGCCCTTTCCATTCATGCTCTGCTTCCACAGCTGCCCCCCTCAGCACTTGAGCAGGGGTTTAAAACTCTTTATAATTTTCACTGTGTTAGGTGTGCGTGTGTCCGCATGTCAGCGTGTGTGCGTGGGTGCAGGCACTCCAGGAGGCCAGAGGTGTTGGCTCCTCTGGAGCTGGAGCTACAGGTCAGCTGCTATGTGGGTGCTGGGAACTGAACCAATGTCATCAGGCTTGTTGGCAAACACCCTTACCTGCCGAGCCACCTGGACAGCCCAACACCCAGGTCCCCTGTGTGTATTACTGAGTCCCCACCTTTGTTTGCCATTGCTGAGAATGACAGCTTTAGTTTTCCTGGGCCCTCCCTGGAGTCTTGCAGAGGCGGTCACCTTGAAAATCTGCACTTTGAAAAGAGTCGGAATTTGAGAACCGTTGTCCAAAAGGTTTCAGAGCGTCCCCTGATGGCTGTTTGGTTTGGTTTTCCTAGCAAAAGAAGAGGATGGATTAGCTAGTGGTGCCTCTGGCGGAGTAGGGTGACGGGTACTGGAAGAAGGTTGGAGCCAGCGCTTGACACGACTTGACACCTGGGCTTCTTTTTTTTTTTTTTTTTTTTTTTCTTTTTTTTTTTCTTCCTCCAAGGCAAGGTTTCTCTGTGTAGCCCTGGCTGTCCTGGACTTGCTGTGTAGACCACTACCACCGGCTATGCCTTCACCTAGCTTCAGAAGGGGCGGTGACTCGTCACTATTGAGAGCGCGTTATTCCATTTGCTCTCCTGTGACACTTGCCAGCACTGTCAACAGGACTGTTTCCCACTGTGCTGTGCCACAAACACTTACAGTCAGACAGCAGACCTGCTGTAACCTAAAGCCTTTTGCCAAGTTCATGTGCAATTCAATCTGAGCTGGGCCGTATTTTCAGACAGAAGTGACTTTTTTTTTTTTTTTTTTTTTCTTACACTTGATGCCAAAATCCTCGGATTTTGGCCAGCAAATGGTTCCCTACCAAACAGAGCTGGGAACAGCCTGCATTCAGACACAGAACTCCTCAACTTAATAGCAACACCAGGGCCCTAGTGAAAGCTGAGGTGGCAAAGAATCTCCACTGTGCTTTAGAAAACCACAGGAATGCTGGAGCCACCAGCTGCCTCAGCAGCCATGGGGTTACTCCAGTGTTCTATAGGAATTAGGATTCACTGTGAATATGACTGACGATTCCCAAAGAGCAGAGAGTCTAAGAGCAGACAGTCACCCTAACCTTGAGACGCTGATTCCGCTGAGTCAGAGCCGTTAAAAAAACTCTTGAGGGGAGCCAGATTGTGGTGGTGGAGCGCGCTCGGGAGGCGGGAGGCAGAAGCAGGCAGATCTCTGTGAGTTCGGGGCCAGCCTGGTCTACAAAAAGAGTTCCGGGACAGCCAAGGCTACAGAGAAACCCTGCCCCGAAAAACAAACAAACAAACAAACATACATACATACATACATACATACATACATACATACATACATACATACAATTTTCAGGGTTGCAGAGTGGCTTGGCAGGTAAGAGCACTGGCTGCTTTTCCGAAGGTCCAGGGGTCAGGTCCAGCCCCCGTATGGTGGCTCACAGCCACTCATGACTCCCGTTCCAGGGAACCCCGTACCCTCTCTTCTGCCTGTGTGGGCACCGGGCACCCACACAGTGCGCTTAACGTACATGCAGGCAAAACACTCACGCAAAAGGAATAAAAATAGATAACATCTTTTTTAAAAGAGATTTTGAGGATTTTTTTTCCCCCTATGCCAAAACTCAAGCAGAGTCGAGTCGGTGAGCACAGTCTGTCGATTCACTACTCTTTCTTTCAAAGTAACCTGTACTTCTGACTTCTTGCTCATTAACCCAGACTTCGTCTCTCCCTGCCCCCAGAGGCCTAGTAGAGAAGAAAGAGATAGAGCTGGTTATGAGCAAGTTAGAAGACGCACAGAAGTACCTGGCGCAGAAGTACTGTGTCCTGGTGCTGGGCGTCGGTATGGCGGATAAACATCACATGAACTGTGGCAAGTACGCATACACATCCGCAGCTCTCAGGCTGGCACATTCCTGCTGTCTTTCCGTTTGAGCCCTGGTCCCCTTGAGAAAGTGCTCCCTCGAGTGGGCCCTGGTGAGAGAGCCTGTCCCAAGCTCTGATGATAACTGCCCCGAGAGAGCCAAGTATGGAAGGATTTCCAGGGTCCCAGCATTTCAAAACCGTACCCGGCTTGGGACCCGTTCTCTTCTGCTGAATCTTGCTCAGCTCGAGGACTGGGTGGCGGGAGCCCAGGAGGAGGCCCAGCGATCGCCAGTGTGGCGGGCGGTGGGGGCGGTGTCTGCTTCTGTTCCAGCAGCCGCAGCTGTGAGGACCACCACGGAGCTGGCACTGCTCGTGGGAAACCAGGTTTCACCTCAGGGTGACAGCGTCTGTATACGGTCACTAAAACATAAAGGAGGCCCGCAGCCCCGGAAAGTTTGGGGCTCCCAGGAGGGGGATCGCTGGTTGCTCACGCTGCAGCTCCTGGGTGGCTTCACAGCGGCCCAAGAGCCAAGGCCTTGAGCAAAGTTGAACCAAACAGTGCCGCCCCTTCAACGCTCACGTTGGTGATACATTCCTGTAGTGTGAAGCCAGCGAGGCTGGGGCAGGTGGATCGCCTGAAGACCTCCCTAGGTGACACAGTCATGTACTTACCTCAAAAGGAAACACAAAAGCAAATGAACAGAGAGCGAAAGATTCCAGAGCCCTCTCCTGCCCTCCCAGATGTGGGGCCAGGAGCCTTAGATTGTGAAGGTTAAGAAATCCATTACCATTCATTCTAAGTCTCCTTGGTTACCCTGGGGTTTATGACAAATTCTTCGGAAAGTTTAAAGGTACATAGGTGCTTCAAGATGTTTTATTTTATTTATACAGCTTTACCCTTTACCAAGGAAGACATGGGAATCTGTATAGATTTTGTGTGTCTCATAGCAAGCAGTAGTGTTCTCCTTTGCTGATTTTTTTTTTTTTTTTTGCCACTTATACACAGTAGGAAGATAGTCCATGTTTTTATCTATGTGAATCTGTTCAACTTCTTTCTGATGCTGTTTGATAATCATACAAGTTCTTCCTGGGTTAAACTGTTTACCTTTCTCTCTTAATTTAAAAATATTACATTAAAATGCTATATTTTGATCCATTTGAAATGTGTCCTATACATCAGGCGAACTCTGAAGCTAAGATACTTCTGTGATAATATTCCATTTTCCAACACTGCCTGTTTGTGAGTTTTCCTTTAGTACAGCATTTTTTTGTTTATTGGATATTGAATTTTTCTAGTATTTTAATCCAGTCTGAAAAATTCAGGTTGAATTTTACTGACCAGTGTTTTTGTTTTAAATACAACTTAACTTTTTTAAATAATTAACATTTTTACTGAAAAAAAATTATAAAATATACTTTTCTCAGGTTTCCCCTCCCCCACTTCCTCCTAGACAACCCAACTTTACATTCTTTCTGTTTCTTTCTTTAAAAACAAACAACAACAACAACAACACACACAAACACACAAATCTGCTGTATTTAACACCCTCAGTACCCATCCAGCAGAAAATGTGGTACCAAGTATGGAGCACAGAGAAAAGAGTCTTCCCGGAGCGTGTGGGGTAGCAGGTAGCCATCAGTAAAGAAAGGGGAGGTGGCTGATCAGCACCGTGCAAATAACAGAGAGACGGTTGGACTTTAAACTTCAGCTTCCTCAATGCTGACCTGAGTACTGACTCCCTCCCGGGGACGGTAGGTCTTGGCATGTTCTGGCCCGTGGCTGGCGAGGAAGAGTGCCACGCGGTAGGGCATGCTGTAGGAAAGCTGGCTACGTCCAGGCGGTGAGGAAGGAGAGAGGGGGGTGGAACCCCGGGACAGCCACCTTGCAGGGCACATCCCTCATGACGTAATTCCTCCAGCGGGCCCCCACTTGAGCTTCCACTGCCTCCTGATAACGCAACCAGCCTATGGCTACAGGGGACCTTCCAGATGCAAATTATAATAGGGTCAACAGTTAGAATCCCACGTGTTGGGGATGACGAGCTTATCACCTCACGGTTGTGATTTGTGACATTTCCAGGGAGAAAATCTCAGACACACAGAAAGACTGGAAATTCTTTGAGGTAAGCCTCTTACTTTTGGGACTCCTCATTTGCTATGAAACCATAACACACAGCAATAGCCATTTGACAGGCACTTCTTTTTAGTAAGTATTTTTCTTAAAAAGGATGATAACACGTTGTTTGTTATACCTTAGAATTTTGGCCTGATTTTCCACCCGTAAATGTGAGTACGTGTGGGGTTCTGCACAGCTTCTAGGGCAATTGAGCGATTAGGTCCTCCGGGTTTGTGTCTACTTAGGGATACTGTGGGGACAACAGGAGTTCTTCATCGCATTTCTGGGCTTTGTGATTGTCCTTTTTTTTTTTTTTTTTTTTTTTTTTCCTTTCAGTCCTTTTATACTTTCTGTACGTGTGTAGCTTGGGTTGTCTTCCGACGTCAGTACCTAAGAGAGATTGAGGAGGAAATAGGGAGGCTTTTCCGTACCAATATGTTTAACATTCCTCGAAGGAGGCACGAGGATGAGGAATCAGGAGGAGAGAAGAAGCGCATGACGTTGGTGCAGTTCAGGTATGACCTCCGTCCTGGAGAGCCGAGTCTCTCTGTGTAACTCAGGCTGCCTCCACACAATCCCATGCCACCAATCCACGCCACCGAGTCTGGCTCAGCTCTGACCGTCAGGCCTTTCCTTACCTCAGGGACGCTTACAAGAAAGAGGGCGGTGTGACTTGGCTGTCCCCACCTTCCTCCCACAGGAGAATGATGGCAAAACGTCCAGCAATTAAAAAGGCCATGGACATGCGTTCCCCGGTCTTGTCAACACTGCTGCCGTCTCTCAGAGAAAAGGCGCAGCATATCGCTGAGAAAAAGTATGTGGCAGGCATCAAGCTCCCACCCCGAGTAAAGGGGGGCATAGCAAATCTGGAGTCTGTGCCTATACCAGTGTAAGTGGCACAGGGGTGGTGGGCGGGTGGGTGGTGCCTCCTGGGAGGCTTAGAGGATCCTGGGGCTGAGCGGAAGGAAGCATCTGTCCTCATGCCAACTCCTGCCTTCCTGATCAGGGCATCTCCACTTAGGCCCATCTGGACTAGAAATCCCTAGCTGTCCTAACCTCCAGATAGTTGTGTCCTGAAAAAGTGAGAGACCTTTTAGGGTTCAGTGTCTGTTATAACAGTTCATCTTGCCAGGCACAGTGCCACATGCCTGTAATCTTAGCACTCAGGGAGGACGGGGCAAGTAGATCGCTGTGCGTTCAAGGCCAGCCTGGTCTACAAAGGTTCAGGACAGCCAAAGCTACACAGAGAAACCCTGTCTTGAAAAAACAAAACAAAAAAATTCATCTTGGGAAGATGTGGATGAAAGATCCCCGGAGGGTATCTTCCGTCAGAGAGACCCCCTCCCAAAGAACAACGAGTCCATTCGGATGCAAACAGCAAGAGGCTTTTATTTTGATTCACGAGTACTCGGGGCAGCAAGGTCACTCGGGAGAACCCTGCGCGTCTCCTTGGGGAAAAACTGGGGTTTTTATAGGGTTTTAGAGCAGAAGCACTGGTACAGAAGCGAGAGGGCATGGTTACAGGGGGCTGATTGGTACGTTTACACGAGACCACAATTTGTGTCAAAGTTTGGCAGGGGCACCAAGATTCCAGGAACTGGGTGGTCAAGGGGGGTAGGATGACCCCTTGACGTGGCCCGCCACCTGTTATTTTGTTTTTCTCTATCTTAGCTGAAACAGTCTCACAGGTATCTATGAGAGTGATTAACACAAACTGTTTTTAGTATGACTGGGGCAGCCTGACCACAGATATCCCAAGTGGGTGACACAGCTAGGATTTCTCAGTAATTTTCCAGTTTCTCATCTGGCCTTCAGAGTTTTACAAAACAGTGGTGTCTCACAAAATGGCATTAGCTATGTTTAACTTAGGGTGAGGCTGGGGTCTTTCAGTGGATAGAGCCAGGGCAGAATCCTGCTATGGACTGAGTTTTGGGCTGGTATGTAAGGCCACAGTGGTAGTATAAAAACAAGCCTGACTTTTAAAAGTGTATGTATGTCTTAGCTTTTTTTTTGTGTGTGTGTGTATCACAGAGAGATAATCATAGTCACAACCACACTGTAAATCACAATCTTGGCCTTATCGCTCCCTGGATTAACTATGGCGATAATTCTGTTTACAGAGTTGGCATCTTGGGAGAGCCTCGGAATCTGTTCAACCCTCATACTCTCCTCCCCAGAGAGACAGAGGAAAATGGAAAACAGGGCGGAAGAAGCGCTTCCATAATAGAGAGAAATAACGCACAGGTTCAGGAAAAGCTGAACTTAGTCATGGCAACACTGTCATTGCATAGCACCGGCCCTAAATAACCCACTTTGTATCAGTCCTTTATTCAGATCTCTGTATTTGAATTAAATTACTCTGACTTAACACTTAGTTCATACTGGATTAATATTTATCATGAAATAGCTGTTTGAAGGCACACGTCTTTAATCCCAGCACTCAGGAGGCAGAGGAAGGTGGATCTCTTTGAGTTCGAGGCCAGCTTGGTCTACAAAGCGAGTCCAGAACAGCCAAGGCTACACAGAGAAACCCTGTCTCAAAAAATAGCTGTTTGAATTGTTCACAATTTTTTTTCTCAGCTAGTAAAAGCTAATAACTTGTTTATTAAAGATTTTTAGGAAACTCTCGAAAAGTACGTTTTCCTAATTTAATAGTTTTCCTTTGTGTTTGTGTGTGTGTGTGTGTGTGTGTGTGTGTGCTTGTGTATATGGCACTTGTGTGCTTGTGCATATAGAAGCCAGAGGACAACCCTGACTAGAGAGAGAGCCAGAGAGCCAGAGAGAGAGGAGGGGAGGGACAAGGAAGGGAGGAAAGGAGAAGAGAGAAGCACACACTTGGTGGTCAAGAGACAATTTTGGGAATTAGTGCTTTCCTTCTGCTGTGTGGGATCTGGGGATTGAACTCAGGTTGGCAGGATTGCAACCTGGCAGCCTGGCAGCCTTCGCCTTTTTTTTTTTTTTCCCAAGACAAGAAGGAGGTAAAAGACCTTCGAGGCCACCTTGCACTGTCAGCCTGCTGCACTGGCCCAGGCAGCCATGGGCTGGAGGCAGAGGCCCCTGCAAATGGCTGAGACAGGGCTGCCTTGGCTGGAGAATGGGCCACAGCCCCACTGAGGGAGCTTCTGGAAGTGTCAGAATACACGTAGGGTTCCGCACAGTGGGATCATGGGGCTTGTGTCCCGCACAGGTGTAAACCAACTGACGTGAGTGTAATCTTGATCTCTTTCTAGATCTTTCCAGGAAGAGACACTTTTTTTTTTAACTCAAAAATTAAGCTACAACCTTAAATGGATGTTTATAGACAGTTTGAGTGTGGGTCTCACACACACAGGTGTGGGTTCGCTCGAAAAGGGTAAAGGCCAGAGGTCAAGGTCAGATATCTCCCTTTATTGCTCTCCACTTTTTATTATCTATCTATTTGAGATAGTCTCTGAATTGGAAGTTTCTGATTTCTTTGGAAACTCAGTTGTGTCATGTGACTATGTTTTTTTTTTGTTTGGGTCCCAAGTGCGGAACATGGGAATGCTCCCCCACTCCCCATCCCCCACCCCCACCTCCGAGGAAGACAGCCTCCCCTGTGAAAAGGCATGTGATGTTGGTCAGCTTAAAGCTACCAAGGAGAGTGGCTTTATGTGAGCTGGAAAACCTCCTTTCGTGGACTCCGAGAAGGGATAACTAGAAGCTCACGGACAGCGAGACAACGTGTTTCCTGCATTTCCGCACCTTTGCATTGCTATTCTTTGCAACGGTTCGAATCCTCCGATGGACTTTGAAGATTGAAACCATCCAGAGTCCATCCTTTGGTAGACTCCAGCCGCTTCGGGCGGAGTAAAGTAGGCGTTTGAAAAAAAATCGAACCCTACAAGTCTCTCACCAAACCTGAAGCTTGCCATTTCAGCCAGGCTGCCTGCACCCACCCCCCAGGCATCCTTCAGTCTTCATCTGTACTACTATCAGTGCTCAGGACATGCATCAGTGCCTGGCTTTTACGTGGCTGCTGGGGTCCAAACTCAGGTCCCCATGACTGTACAGGAAACAGGTCCCCACTGAGCCAGCTCCCCAGCCCTCACTGGTAGTTTTAACACAGGCATGTTATTAAAGATTACTACGTTTTGGGTTTGTTTGTTTGTTTGTTTGTTTGTTTTGTATGTTTATGTATGTGCAGGAGCTTTGTGTTTGTGGGGGGGGGGTACATACCCATGCATGAATATGGAGGCCAGAGGTGTGATACTTCAGGAGCCTCGGGTTTTTGGTTTTTCATTTTCGAGACTGGATCTCTCGCTGGTGTAATGGAAGTTTGGGGTTCTTTGTATGTTATGTAAAAATGCATTTGTTTTAATCCCAAGTGTGGGATTCCAGTTGGGCTATAGTTTGTCCACACCTGTTAATTGACACATTCGGGGCATGATCTTTGGCAGCTGGTCACGGCCTTCACGCGTGACTCGTGATCGGGGTGTGGTCTAGGACTCAGGGGATGAATGTGAGGCCGAGAAAGAGATTGTGTGGTGTGTTTGGTGGAGTTCAGTGTGGGGTTCTGTGTTGGGCATGTGGTATGGAGCAGTTTGGAGAGACCAGAGACGATGTGGCAGTTTGGAGCAGACAGACGGAGAGAAACGCTTTGGGACGTAGTAGCATGGAGGAGACCGCTGGCTGTGTCTGTGGTTGATGGAGATTGGTACTGAGCCCTAAAAGAACCCCTTAACCCTAAACAGCTGGCAGAAGTGAAGGGGTCTGGGCCCTCTCTCCTCACTACCCTTTTCTCTCTCCTACCTAAGGCTGGAGGGTTGGTGGAAAAGAGGCCTAAACACCACAAATAAAGTAGAGTTTTAAACAAGAGCACCACTGGTGGCTTTCTGCTACAAGCTGGTGGGGAGCTTTCTAAGTAGCCTAAGCTGGCTCCATGGAGTCCTAGGGATTATGAACACACTCCACCATTGTCTTAGTTAGGGTTTTATTGCTGTGAAGAGACACCATCACCAAGGCAAGCCTCTTTTGTTTGTTTTTTCGAGACAGGATTTCTCTGTGTAGCCTTGGCTGTCCAGGATTCACTTTGTAGACCAGGCTGGCCTTGAACTCACATTGATCCGCCTGCCTCTGCTTTCCTGAGTGCTGGGATTAAAGGCACGCACCACCTCAATGGGCTCAAAGGCAACGCTTATAAAAGCAAACATTTAATTGAGACTGGCTTACAGTTTCAGAGGTTTCGTTCATTATCGTCATGGTGGAAAGCATGGCAGCGTGCAGGCAGACCTGGTGCCGGAGGAGTTGCTGAAGGTTCTGCCTCTTGCTCCAAAGGAGACTGTCATACCGGGCACAACTTGAGCTCCCCAAAGCCGGCTTCCTCCAACAAGGCCACACCTATTCCAACAAGGCCACTATGTCCAGACATCAGGATCAAAGGCTTTTTGTCTTCTAGCCTCAAGGTCTGGGTGACAGGTATGCCCTTCGTTTCCGGATTGTGGTTCATTCCAGATACGGTCAAGCTGACAACTGAGAATAGCTATCACAACCACTCCTGCCTTTCTTACTTGCGTTCTGGAGGAGAGCAAACTCAGATCTTTATATGGTACTTTCCTGACTAAGCCATCTCCCCAGTTCACCAAGTTCTTAAAGATCAAAATACTCAGCAGTTAGGAAAGTAGAAACATAAGCCACAAGATTAGAGAAAAATATTTACAGAATAGCTAATAATTTATGTGATAAAATGTACAAAAAAAACCTTAAAACTCAAGAATATGAGAACTGAATTAACACTCAAAGATCTGGGTAGACACCTCACCAGAGACACAATGATGACTGACAAATGTGGAGATGGCGCTCAGCGACACCTGTCATTAACAAATGTGGTTCAAGCTACCCAATGCCGCTACATGCTTCTTAGTGAGTGAAATCTAAAGCGGCAATTCCAAATGCTGCCGAAGATGCCATATGGCATTGACACCTCAGAAGGCACCTTTCTTCCCTCCCTTCCTTCCTTCCTTCCTTCCTTCCTTCCTTCCTTCCCTCTTTCCGTCCTTCCTCCCACGCTCTCCCTTCCTCCTCCTCCTCTTATTTCCTTTCTTGTAGAGCTCATTTTTAAACTAGTTTATTTGTGGTTCCTTAAAGCCTCTCTCTTCCGACCTCCAGGGTCCAGAGCACTTCTCCCAGCTGTTTAGGGTTGACGGGTTCTTTTAAGGCTCCCCCAATCTCTGTTAGCAGCAGATGCAGCAAGCAGTCTTCTCCAAGCGGCTGCGTTGAAATGTTTCTCTTCGTCTGTCTCCAAGCTGCCATACCATCCATTGCCCATCTCTGGTCTCTCCAAGCTGCCACTCGCCACACTTTCTCTTTCTGGGCTCTCATTTTTATATTCTCAGAGCCCTAGACCATGCCCCTTTCTGTGCCGCATGAAAGTGAGTTCTAGCACAGCCAGTGCTATTACATGGAGAAATCCTGTTTTGAAAAACCAAAACCAAACAAAAAAGTAAACAAACAACAAAAAGCTGGCCTGTTACCAGCTGTCAAAGACCATGCCCTCCACGAGCTCAATTATCAGCCATGGACAAACTATTGCCCAAACTAAAATCCCACACCTGGGATCAAAATAAAACATATTTACATAACATAACCGAGTTCTTAAAGAAACCAAAACTTCCATTACACTTCCTTTCTTCTTCCCTTCCCTTCTTTTCTTCAAACAAGTTTCTTACAAAGCTAAACAACTGAGCTGGGCAGGGGGCATCATTGTATAAATAAGCAGCACAGGCAAGCTTGACCGCCTGAGTTCCATCCCAGGAAGTCGTGTAAAAAATCTAGATGAGTAGTGTGCGTCACTAATTACAGCTCTCCTACAGAAGGTTGGAAGTAGAGACACGAGCCTCACTCACAAGCCCACAGGCCAACTAGTCTTTAACACAGGACAATAGCGGGAGGAGGGAAAGTTATCATCTGACCCTAGGTACATGCTGTGGCACATACACACACACACACACACACACACACACACACACACATCAATAGTAAGATTAAAATAAATTTAAAGATATATATATATATCCATCCACACAAAAGTACTATAATGATTTTATTTCATAAACATCATAACCAAAGCAATCAATACGACATTTAATAGGCCAGTTGATAAGTTGTGCTATATCTATAGAATAAAGTATTATTTGGCAATAAAAGAGTGATTTGTCAAGCTATACAAAGATACAGATGGCTGGGTGTGGTGGCAGACACCATGCCTTTAATCCCAGCACTCAGAGGCAGGTAAATCTCTGTGCATTTGAGGCCAGCCTAGTCTACAAAGTGAGTTCTAGCATAGCCAGGGCTATTACATGGAGAAACCCTGTTTTGAAAAACCAAAACCAAAACCAAAACCAAAGAGTAAACAAACAACAAAAAGATACAGATTAATATTATGGAGCTATGATAGATATTATGGAATATTATAGCTATCATGGAGTCAGCCAAAATAAGAGAGATGGTTCCAAGGTCTTAGGTTGGGGAGGTTGGGAAGGTGAAGCATGATGTTTTCAGAGTAGCAAAATTATTCTTTGTGACACTAGGATGATGAAAACATCATGCCTTTGCATTGGCCAAAACCCACAAAACTTTCCAGTTATAGGGATAAGATACA